AACATACAAGTCTCATGTGAAGAAGATAGTTCAAGGCCCATTTGGGGGTTTCAACCAGGATGCAGCAACAACGACCACCCATCCCTATCGAGACCCCTCCCACAACCACAGGACCAATATCACCCGCGACACCTCAGCCATCCTTGCCATCCAGAAGTGTTACAGCTTCCACCATAGAAGAGGCTTTCGTTCAGTTTATTCTATACTGTAATCCCGAAGTGCCCCCGGAAACAGACACCTCCGCCCTCCGCGAAGCATTCCAGACTCCACCTAAAAGCGGCGGCAAAAGCCTCGACACTTACACTCTGTTCGAATTGATCAAACAGCTGGAGGCCAGAGAGCTCAGGACATGGGTGGAGTTGGCGCTGAAGTTGGGTGTCGAGCCACCGGACCAGGAGAAAGGACAGAGTAGTCAGAAGATCCAACAGTATGCGGTGAGACTGAAGAGGTGGATGTATTCCATGCATATTGATGCCTTCTTCGACTATCTACTCGCTAGGGAAGGGCGCTACTGGACGGAGGTTCCGAATGAGAAAGAGGTGAGCGTGGTTAGGGATGGGGTCGCACCGGAGGATGATATGGCTCTCAGAGCATTGTTGCCACACATCCGGCCAAAGAGAGGGAGGAGGAAACCGGACGAGGAAGGGGAAGGAGGAGGATCCATCAGCAAGAGTCCGGGGATGAGGCCGAGCATGGAGCCTCCGCCTGCTGGAGAGGGAGCAGAGGAGTCTACTGGATTGGGGAACGTCGTGGAGGTACCATGGTCTGCGCAACCAGATTCGAGAGGAAGAGTATTCCCCTTCCCCGTACCATCAGACTCGTTGAGATTGAGTGCTGGTGGAACGACTCAAGCTCTTCCATCTGGACAGCCTTGGCAAAGTAGCTCAGGGCTCGTGATACAGACGCCCCTAACAGCTTATCCGCAGTCTGCATATCCTCAGTCGGCTATTACGCCGTCGACGAGACAGGCGTTTTGGGCAGATGAGCCGAACTCGGCCATTACTCCCTCGAAAGCGAGGGCAAACAGGCGCCATGGGGCCAAGGTCCTTTCGTCAGCATGGAGGAGCGGAGTTGGTGGGACAGGCAAAACGAGAGGTCGTCCAAGGATTAACCGGGTTGAGAACGGACCGTTTTCAGCCTTTCCATCTAGCGAGGCTACCACTGCCTCGACATTCAAGGTTCCTCCCTCCAATACGACAGTAGCGGCTACAACAGCAAGCGGTGTAGCGTTGCCGACATTAGTTGAGTCGCCTGTCTCCGTGGTATCTGGCTCTGCGCCAATGACACCCGTAGGTCATGCTGATACGAGTTTATCGGCGGGTACCAACACCACGAACCCACAAGAAGCAAACTCGAACTCCAGGCCAGCCAAGCGAAGTCGTTTGTCCCTTCAGGTGCCCGAGCGAGTGGGCGGAGAAGTGCGATTAGCCACACCACCGCCCGTGGTCATGGTTAATGGCCAGGCACAACCCACCACGACAGCTCATAGTCATGCCCAACCAAGGATGGGTTACACCACTGCTACGGACAACCACTCACAGCATCAGCGATCCAATAACCAGCAGCCAGCATCTGCACTGCCACCTTTCGCCGTCTCAGTCCACCCTCCTGCCACCGCACCCATCAATCCTCATAACAGCACCAACAAGCCCGAGATAGAGTCCTTCTTCATCCAGGAGATCTTGACCGCCTCCTGGTTCTCCCCCTCCGGGAAAGCCATTCCACCCTGCTCCATCTCCGAAGCCCAGGCCATTGCCAGTACTGTCATCGAAACTCTCCACCGTTCCGCAACCTCGGACACGGCTTTCTTGTCGAACCTCGCTGCTTTGATCGGGGGAAAGTTATTGATGAGTGGCAAAGGGCTGAAGATTACAAGGCTAGAAGAAGGAACGGAGAGCAATCGATACCGGTGTGAGTGGGAATTGGGCCTCGGAGATGTGAAGGGGGCTTATAGTATAGAGGAGACGGTGAGGTGTGGGAGTTGGAAAGAGACCACCAGGGCTAATGGCAGCGGGGGGGACGATGAACGAGTGGAGGGAGGGGAGGATGGAGAGATAGAGACGGATGAGAAGAAGTGGCAGAGGAGGTATTTGGATATGTGTGAGGCGGTCAAGAAACGGGACAAGGAGCTTGCGAACATGAAGGCTGGTGTTCTGCAGGCTTTGAAGGGTCCTGGAAGGGATTGAGCCTATGATATTGGTTAGGAGGAATATGATACCCACGGTTATGCCGTTGTTGTAGGGGAGACATGGCCTCCCCTTCACATGAGTACTGTTTAGAGCACCGAGCGCAAAAATAAGCAGCAAGAGACTATAGAGACAAAAAAAGTACAACACCGAGGATTCGCTGGTGGTCACCCACCCAACTACTAGTTCGGCGATCATATATCTTGTCTACTGGATCTTGGAGGTCCAAAATCGGTCCTTTTAGGGCCAAGAAATGGGAGCCTCGGATCTCGACAGGTCTCGCTGTATGCGGCCAGCACGTGCTGTGGCTAGGTTGTGGCGCTGTGGCGCAGGTAGATTCACAGTGCCCCTGGGAACAACCTGGAACCTTGGAAGGGACCGGGAACTGTTGACTCAACGCGGTGAGTGGCTTTCACCACCTGGAACAAAGGAAACCCAGTGAAGGAGACAGCTCAGTAGAAGGACAGTGGGGTGGATTGCGGTTCAGAGCATTCACTGCCCCTAGGAACCTGTATATAAGGTAACGAACAGGTTCTGCCGCCGTTGTAGAACTTCTCTTTTCTTCTTCAGCTTAAGATAATAATACACTCTGTTGGTCGGGCTTCAGCGGGAGTTTTACCTCCACTCGCTGCTCGCATTCAACTACCCACGCCGTAACAACCCCCAGGCTTCGGATAAGACTCAAGACAAGATGCCACTTTCGGGTCAAATTGATCCTGGCGAGATCCCGATCAAGCCTTCCCAGGGTTGTTCGATCCTCAACTGAGAGTCATGTGTACCTAATGGCATATGTTTATAGCCCAAACTCGAGCCCGCGCCGCCGTTAGAGGCGACGCAGTACCAGTCCGATATTCGAGCAAGACCGAGAAGATCCAGTTTCAGCGGAAGTACAGCCTGTGCCCAGGGACGGGTCGTTCGCAACACCAGAAGTAGGAGCATTGGGCCCTTGGAGCAGGTTCATGTCAACCGTCTGTCATCATGCGCGATACAACGCTATCTTCGTCTCAATATCATAGTCTGTCATGGAAATCGACGGTTCCTTCGACGCTAGTATCATGTTCGAAAAACTGCTCTCCTCACTGCAATATTTGCACGGTCAGGATACGTCACAAAACATCACAGACGATGTCGTTTCCATCCTTCGGCGATGGCTGTCTCAGCCTCTCTTAGTCTCGGACTCAGACATCTTAAAATTATTACGATTCGAAGAGTCTCGTAAGGACTCCCCTCCACTTACCTCGGGAGTCGTTTGCTATTTCAGATCCTGGTCAGTACCTATGTGGCAATTTAAGGCGATCATCGAAGACCTCTCAAGTCAAGGTCAACTTGAGGAAGATATCAACGGATGGAGAGACGCGTTACAGAGCGGTTTTGACGATCAATATGTTATTACAGTCCGATATTTTGGGAGAACCTATGCGCCAAACAATCCATAGAGACGATACCTATGCAAACCTCCTCGTCCGAATTCCCTCCTCGGGGCGTTCCTCACAACAATCCACCGTCTCTTCCCAGAAGCTACCAAGTCCCATCGGATTTTCAGCATCACCCGTAGTTACATCCCTAATTTATCAACGGGTAATCAGCAAAGTACTCGCCTCTACCGAAAAGCTTTCCAAACACTCGGTGATCTATCTAAGCGTACTTAGATCGGGTTTTTTTTGGCTTTCGGACCCTGCTAAACAGACAGCGCGGCGGGAAGTCCGCTACTATAAAGTTAGACCTGGTAGATAAATACGTTTTCCTCCAATGTAACTCATCCCTTCTTATGAATCTTGACAAATACCAACTAACGAAGAGTGGCCAAATCGTTCGTTATATCAATGGACTTTTCGAGGACTAGTGGGATAGCACCCGTAGGATTGTTTAGAAAGACATTAATCGTGCGGCCTCAGCGATATATCAGCCTTATATCGACAGCACCATCCAACAGGCTATTGCGAGACAGATAAACGGCACATCCATTACTGCTATATACGGATTGGAACCTCCCTAGCAAACAGTGATGGATGGAAGTCACTTACTCCGTGGCAACCGTGCCACTAGAGAGTTCATTCGGAATATACTTCTGTCCATAGCTCAGCTCGAAGAGAATGCCGAGGCCGACCATTCCTCACTGAAGACGTTTGAAGATCTCATAAGCTTTGATCAGCTTTACAACTGGCCTAATGTTAGGGCACAACAACGGCAACCATCACGAGTGTGTTTGCCCTTTTCGAGCTTCTTCACGCTAAATGACCGGGCAGTTAAAGTGCTGGCGTTCACTATATTCTAGGCTTGATAAATTCATGGCTCGCAAGCGTGAAGCCTCTTATTGTAGCTACACTAGGGAACAAGATCGCTGGATGGGTGTGCAATCAGCAAGTCAAACCACTCCAATAAGGACACCAGTTTACTTGATGTATTTTGTCGATACTCAACTACTAACCCGAGCCGTTTAGAAACTGTTTAGCCGAGGCTAGAGTGGCGAGAATAGTCATTGCACCCGCCGAACACCCAACGCCTACGATTATAATACCTCACCTACATCCAGGTTTCAATGCTAGGACCTCGCAGTCTCTCGCTCAGCTTAAGGTCTACTGGTATAGGATATGGTTGGTCTTGTCACTAAGGTAGGGGTTTAGATGTGAGGTTGTAAAAGGTTGATTCCTCTCTAAAAAAGGAGAGCTCCTACTACCTATAGGTGGCGGGCCTAAGCTGGCCTATAGCTAAGGTCTTCCTATCGTGTGACAGTTGTCTTCGAACTAGCAATAGCAACTAACATACGGCTTACTAATAGTCACGTAATTAAGGAGTATTTTCTTAACAACTAAAGGGTGGATGGCCGAGCGGTCTAAGGCGCTCGACTCAAGTGTTAACACACTTCTGTCTCGTAAAGACACAGAGCATTCGAGTATCGTAAGATGCGTGGGTTCGAATCCCACTCTACTCACTTTTTCTTTTTTTTTATCGTTCTACCGACCCCTATAATTGACCTTTTATGTAGTAAGTAGTATTAGTGAAAACGCAAGAGTGCGGGTAATAAGGTTATATACGGCTCCCTTAGCTAATTTCCGATCACTGGCTTATCTATGGGAGAGCGGACGGGATCCCGAGTTTTCCAGTGTCTATAGTCGTACATGACAGTTGAGCGTTTGAATGACTCTATATACTGGTGTTGATGCGTGCAGCCCTGGTACTTGTTCGTTGACTGTAGGGTATGCCTGACTGGGAGCGACCAACACATGGCTGGACTAGATCTAGGTAGTCTACTTGCTCAATAAACCAACAGCAAAACCCAAGCCGAAACAGTATATATAAGAAACTGGAGTGTTATTCTGATGCAATGCACTGTCTAGCTTGCTGTGGATCTATGACAGCGTACAAAACCCGGACCCGGCAACGACACAGCACAGATCAATACCAAAAGCAGTATTCCAAGTATAGAGTTAGGAAGAGACTTCAACCATAACCCAACGTCTACGTGTACGCAGTACAGCTTTACCGGAGAGTTACAGGTACAGGTAAGCTTATTTGTGCGCTTGGGCTTAGTTTCAATAGTGACATGCCAACAGTCTTCCAGGTTGGGCTGGTCGTTCATGCGCCTGCACCCAGCATCCAGCGGAGCATCTGCTACGTGAAGAACTTGTCTTCAATCTGAAAACCAGGACTACCGACTACCCTGTTTGAGACGGATCATTTAGACACAAAATGCGATCGGAGGAGCCGTTTACGTGCGTCCGAAAATTTGTACTCGACTCATGACCCCGCGTTGCCTTGCTTCGCGATGGTAGACTCTGCTGATAGTCTGATGCAGGTAGACGACCCCTGTCGATCGTGGGGAAAAGTTTTGAAAAGAGGGGCAAATTAGTGAGGGGATGATGAGGGCCTTCAGGTTGTGAGGGGGGAGCCTTATGTGCCCATGGGGAAATATGCCGATGTCTCCATAATTTCGCTGTGATCGGTCCGAATAATACAACGAGAATATTATCGCTTCACCAAGACTGCTTATCGAGTTCAAACTCAGTCCTGAAGACATGGTCGTGGTGTAGAGACTCTACTACCCTGCCTGTAGCCGATGTTATCTAGGGGACTTTGTCAAGATTCCTGACTGAAGAGAAGATGTGGCGCCGATTAAACTGCACGGGAAAGGATTGCCGCGCGTGTCGCGGAAGTTGAGTTTTGCTTGAATTCTCATCGACTGGCGTTGAGGATTTGGCGCTTATCCCCTTCCGTCAGTGACGTCAAACGCTGTTTAGGAACTAGGAAGTGGTTGGTTGTGAGGAGGACCCGGTTCCCTTGCCCCCACGTACCTCACGTGCCTGTTTAATTCAACGACCATGCCAACGATCCAATCAACACATTTCGGTTGAGGCAGACTGGCGCCCTGTAGGCCTACTCCAACAAACTTCGTGGCGGTTCGTCTTGCGGCTGATGCCGGCTTTGGGTTAGTCTACCACGCTTGTAGCAGAGCCTCTGGGATGGTCTGGACCTCGAAGACTTTAGATGTCCTGTGCAGCAGCTCTACGATGTACATCCTGGTTAGACAGTGGTCAATATGTCTCAGCAGATGCCAAGGTCGGAGATATTGACGGAGCGTTTCAATCTGCGGCTCGCTAGTCAAAAGCTTATTGGATGGTAGGGCGAACGGACTTGCCAGAGTCGTACTGGATTACAGCAGAACACACCATCCTGCGCCTTGACAACCACCACGTCTGGAATACAGGTAATTGAACACGCGCGCACACGAGCACATAGTACCATCTGAAATGAGAAAAAGATCTGTTCGTACCCATGTAGGACCCGTACATGAGGCTTTTCCAGCCTCTCCCACTTGCGAAAGCTACGGTTGCATCGACAACCCACATGTTGTAACCTGGAACCACAGTCTCACCTCGCCAAGTGCACTCCACATTCGAGTGTCTCCCCCTTTGACCCGATGATCTTTGCCTTCTCCGCCTTGATGGTGTTGCCCATGGGGAAAAGTTGGAGGATGGGGAACGGGGAACCCTGCAATGATCGGGTCTCATCACCGACTGTTATCTGATAGTCTTTAAAAGCGGCCGCCTGCCCTCTTGTGTTACGAGAAAAGGATCTTCATCCGCGTTCTTCTGTCCTGTAAAGCGTTGCAAACGACACAGGAGCCCTTGTCGTCCAGCCTGGGTGCATAATTCACCCCCCAAGTGTTTCCCTATTCGGTAGAAGATTAGGTGGGCTTCATCAACACACTCACAATGGGTGAATCAAAGATCTCAGCGGACCAGGTTGAGACCATACAGCCGTAAGTGGTTCATCCGGTGGTGATACTCGAACATTGGCTGACACGGTCCAGAGCCCCTGCATACTATACGGCTCACTCTCATGCGGAGAAAGGCCATTCACACTCCGAAGGTGTACCTGATCTCAACGCCAATGTGGAGGCCAAGTATGTCATGCTTCTCATAAAACATATAGGTCTCATCGACTAACACAATGATAACAGGATCAAGAACCCCCTTGCTGGCCTATCCAAACATGAACTTCTCGCCGACGTGGAAGAGTTTGCCCGTGAGAAGGGTCTAGAAGAACATATTCCCATCCTGCGTAAAGGCGCCCTGGTCGCCCAGAACCCCAACGATTACGAGAGCTTCCATGGGGCAGAGAAGCTTGACCCGACCGAGATTCAAGTCCTCCAGGACGAAGTCCAGTACAAGTGGAGAGTCCCTCGATTGCTATACCTCACCATCATAACCTGTTCTATCGGAGCGGCCGTCCAGGGATGGGATCAGACAGGCAGCAATGGCGCCAACATCTCTTTCCCCCATGTCTTTGGCATCGGAGGCACGTCGGACCATGATGTCTTCCTTGTTGGACTGATCAACTCGGCTCCTTATCTTGGCAGCGCGTATGTACCCCTTCGTATCGTGACTATAGTTCGTTATAAAGGCTAACATTACTTCACAGCTTCATTGGTTGTTGGTGCGCGGATCCCCTGAACTACTATTTCGGCCGACGAGGAGCCATCTTCATCTCGGCTCACTTCTGCTTCTGGCCCGTCATCGGAAGTGCCTTTGCGCAAACATGGGGTCAATTGCTTGCTTGCCGTATTTTGATGGGAATTGGCATGGGCTGCAAGGGTAAGCGTCCTCCCTCTCCCCTCCACCCCCTTTCTGAGAAGCCCTGGAAACGAGTCCTTCGAATACTGACATGTGATTCAGGTTCGTCCGTGCCTATCTTCGCCGCTGAAAACTCACCGGCCGCGATCAGAGGAGCCCTTGTCATGAGTTGGCAACTGTGGACTGCCTTTGGTATCCTTCTTGGCACCATCGCCAACCTTGCCGTTGCCAAAACAGGTGCAATTGCATGGCGCCTACAAGTGGGAAGCGCCTTTATCCCGGCCATTCCTCTCATGGCCCTCATCTATCTCTGCCCTGAGTCGCCCCGATGGTTGATGAAGAAGAACCGCTACACCAAAGCCTACAAGTCCCTCCTCCGGCTACGTAACAACCCCGTTCAAGCTGCCCGTGATCTCTACTACATTCACACTCAGCTTGAAATCGAGAAGACCGTCATGGGTGACAGCAACTACATCACCCGCTTCATCCAGCTCTTCACCATTCCCCGCGTTCGTCGTGCCACTCTCGCCTCCGGCGTCGTGATGATTGGTAAGTTGAGACCTTAAAACACCTTTTAAAAAACCAAAACTAACCAAAATAACGTGAAGCTCAACAGATGTGCGGCATCAACATCATAGCATTCTATTCCACTACTATCTTCAAGGAGGCTGGTACATCTGACTACAACGCCCTGCTCGCGTCTCTCGGCTTCGGTCTGGTGAACTTCTTCTTTGCCTTCCCCGCCCTGTGGACCATCGACACTTTCGGTCGACGCTCCCTCCTGCTCTTTACCTTTCCCAATATGGCTTGGTCCCTTCTCTTGGCGGGTCTGTGCACCCTCATCCCTGGAAAAGGTGGAGTGCACCTTGGTCTTGTCGCCCTCTTCGTCTACATCTTCTGCGCCTTCTACTCCCCCGGCGAGGGTCCTGTCCCCTTCACCTACAGCGCCGAGGTCTTCCCACTGTCCCACCGTGAGGTCGGCATGGGCTGGGCTGTAGCAACCTGTCTCTTCTGGGCCGCCGTGCTCTCCATCACCTTCCCCAAGATCCTCGCCTCGTTGGGCGTCATTGGCGCGTTCTGCCTCTATGCAGGGTTCAACGTCGTGGCGTTGGTCATGATCTTCCTCTGGGTGCCCGAGACCAAGCAACGGACTCTGGAGGAGCTGGACTACATCTTTGCCGTCCCCACTCGCGTCTTCATGCGGTACCAGATCACCAAGGCCCTCCCGTTCTGGTTCAAGCGCTGGTGTCTGCTGGACAGAACGGCTACCTTGGAGCCGCTGTATCACTTCGACCGCCCCGAGTATATCGCCAGCGACAGTGAGGGTGGCATGGGCCCAGCTGAGTCGGACACTGTGACGGGTCATGATGGAAAGGCAGTTGCTGAGACCAAGGAGGTCGTCACCAACCCCAATGCCTGAGGTGGTTTTCTCTGATGGATTTTGGTAAACACTGGAAGGGAATTGCTGCATTAGATACCCCCATGACGGCGCTTTTAGCATGGATTGGCGAGTTAGTTAGCTTAGTCGGCAAAATGGTAGGCTTACTTCGAATGTCTTGCGTGTTTGTTGAACTTGTGATCAATCACAGTGCTGTGTGTCAGTTAGTACCTCTGTATTTCACCCATACTTCGGCCGTAATTATAATATGAACATGCCAAGCCGGAGAGAAGTCAAGCCAATAGACAGGCACGCAAGTCTTGCAACCTATCGTGAAAGTCTCTCACATGAGAATGTTTCTGATGGCATGACAGTAGAAAGCTCTATGTCGGTCAGGATGGCAGACCGTAAGTGGGTGAGTCTTAACAGTGGGTCAGAGCGCTGTGACTTCCGGCTAGAGTAGTTGTCCTGGGGCTGTCT